TAATCAGGGTTGGGGTTTTGCCAAGGAAGTAAACTGAGGAACAAATGGGGATATGTTAGGAGTGTTTGCAAGAGGATTGGTTATAGTGCTTGATCAGACTCTAGACAGGTTAAGGACATTTTCATTGCAAGTGTGAAGTAGTAGGTATTGAAAATATTAGTGATAGAGTCCATTGATTTGAAGCTTGAAAAATTGGTGAAATAAGAACACTACAGTAGATGCAGTGAAAAAATAGAATGTAATGGTCAAAAAGTGTGAAACAAAAAAATACGATGGGATAGAAAAATGGTAATGACAAGATTTGGGATATCATCATGTGAGGGGAGGGCTAAGCAGGGAAGAAAATAAATACAGTGACTCTAAAGAGAATGAGAAACTGACAGGTTAGAGTGTTGACAAAAATCATGACTGACTTGGCTGAATGTTTCTTGCACTTTGTCTCTTTTTCAATGTAGTTTACACAGTTGTTGAACTAAGAAGTAACTGACAGGTGGGGCGCTTAGGCGGCTCATTCAGTTAAGCATCCAACCTCGGCCCAGGTCATGATCTCACAGTGTGTGAGTTCGAGCCCTGCGTTGGGCTTTCAACTCAAAGCCTGGAGCCTGCTTCAGATTCTGTGTCTCCCTCTCTCTCTGCTTCCCCCCCCCACTTGCATTCTGTCTGTCTGTCTCTCTCTCTCTCTCTCAAAAATAAAAAAACATTTAAAAATTAAAAAAAAAAAAGAAATAATGACTCTAGTCACTAATCAGTCCCCATTCATTTCTGGATCAGAAAAACCTGGGCTAAATTGATCTGTGAAGACCCTGAAGTACTTCATTCAAGCTGGATAAATGTGAAGGAAGGACCACCACAAGTGGTCCAAGATTCCCCTCAGCAGATTCCAAGTTTCCCATCAACAGAAGTTATAGCATGACTTTTAGTTAAGCCTATATGCAGTGGTCCTGAGATAAATCTTAGCTAAGTGAGATCCGAGGTTTTCTGCCTATGCCACAGCAAAGGACTGATAAAATGGCCAACAGCGCACTTAATAGACTGCCCCTGAGATTCTGCATATTTCTATGAGAACTAGAGAAAATACATGGAAAATACATGGAAAAGTGACCTTCACATAATAGGTGAGAAATTAATAATAATTATTTTTAGTTGATAAATATCTCACTTTTGAAGCTTACCATAATAGACATCTATTGTTTTAGCCTCAGTAGAATTCACTTACATTTATTTTCGTGACAACTCCTGCTCTCGTTCTTACTCTTAGTCCAGGTAATTTGTTGTGTGAGCTGCTCACACAGCTCTAGCATGGGCCCAAGACCCAGAGAAGTTGGCTCAGGAAGAGATACATGTCAGAAATTGTTCCAATAAGAATTATCCCAGAGATTTAGCTGGAACCAAGGGGAAAAGGTTGCCAAGCCTAACTGAATGTATCCATTAGGATGAATTTGGTTATAATAATCAGAAAATCCCAACACACTTGGCTTATAAAATAAAGGGAATAAATCTTACATAATGTGAAATCCACAGGTCAAAAATTCTACAGCGGGCATATAAAACAGCATTTTTTTGTATTTCTCTTGGCTTTTCTTCTCCCTTTTGTTTGTTTGGGTTTTTTTTCTTAGTTTATTTACCTTCCGGGCAATAAAATGACTATATAAGTCACATTGTCCTACAACATCATGGAGAAGCAAAAACCTCTTTCTTGGGTCTACTTTAAAGACTTACGAAAATTCCCAGAAAGCTGCTCAACATGTCAGAATTGCAACACAAGCCTATTCTTAAAACTGTCTCTGGCAGAGGAAACAGGGCCACCAGGATCGGCTGAAGTTAATCAGAAACTTCTCTTCCTTGTGAAGAAGTAGTTGTCTGCAAAAAAAATTGGGTTAGCAAGAAGGAACTAGGTGCGTACCTAGGGATAGGTTATGGTAGTGTTTGCTCAACGGCTGGGAATAAAGCCAGCACAGAAGAAAACAAAGGCAAAGTTATGGAGGGCTGCCCACATGTGATAGTCCTTAGGAATTTACACATGACATGAACCAATGAATTTCTTTCATGCTTAAGCCCCAGATGAGCCATGTTCTACCATCTGCACCAAAAGTTCACTGGCTAATAATAACGCTTACTCAAAGCATTCTTCTGGATCCATCAGGTCTGTATTTTCATTCATATGAACTATAAACGTCCTTTAGAGTTTCCTATCTCTGTTATACCAGCTATTCTTATACGTTCTCTTTTTCTCACCTCTTGCCTTTTCTTATGTTGTTCTCTTAACCTGTTACTTTTCTGCATTCACAGATACCTCTTAAAATCTTAACTATCCTTCATAACTATATTTCAAACATCATCTTTTCCTAAAGCATTTCCAAAAAAAATGTTGATTTTTATGGTTTCTCCTTCACTTGAACTGCAGAGCCACTCTCTGACTAGCATTTCAAATGTACACATGTAGGCTACTAAGTAAGATTTAATATAAAAAACAGCCTTGGAGATAAATATTTTTAATTATTCTTGTAATTCAGAAGAAAGCAAAGAGAGGCTAAGTAACTTGCACAAAGTCTAGATTAGACCCTGAGTTTAACACCGAGATCCACACTCTCCCTCCCTGTCTCTCAGGTACACTTCACTCCACTCCCCTATTATCATGTGGCTCCTTGACATGTGAATTGTGTCTTATTCAACTGAATTGCCTATGGTAAATGTATTACACTTTGCACATAATATGTATTGAATAAAGAGATTTGGTTAATTGAACTCTTTGGTTTTATGTGTAGATCTAGATTTATCAATGATTGCTGATGGGTCAACAGAGATATTTCTTTGTATAAGTATAGGTAGACCAGTAGTATCTATCTTTTTAAAAGTACATTCTGGACATCAAAAGCAAATTCCAGATAGTTATTGCCACCAATCTGTACTGAGTAAGCCATTTTGTGCAGCCTCTACAAAACACATAAGATAATTTGACAAAGAGAATGCTGCTGTATACAATTTTAATGAGTACCACATACAAAGAAAAGATTGTAGGAAATTAATATCATTTTCTGAAACCCAGAAGTTGAATACTGGTTAAGAAAATAGCATGTTCATGCTGTGAAATTAGACAGGGAGAAATTAGCATTAATAATATATTTATCTAGAGAATTAGTCAGATTTCATGTAACTGTGCTGCTTGAAATCTGAAGAGAGAAGAGATAGACTTGTCAGTCCATCCAAAAAATAAATAAAATAAAATAAAATAGGGGCGCCAGGGTGGCACAATCAGTTAAGCCTCTGACTCTTGATTTCGGCTCAGGTCATGATCTCATGGTTTGTGAGTTCGAGCCCTGTGTCCAGCTCTGTGCTGACAGTGTGGAACCTGCCCCTCTCTCTGCCCCTTCTCACCCCCCGCCCCTGACTTCCCAAAATAAATAAATAAACAAAAAATAATAATAAATAATAAAATAAAAATTAAACCTGCAAAAATACAAGGTTTTAAACCTCATTTGACCTTTGTCAGACAATGCCAGTGTTAGTGACCTGTTTTAAAGTGGAGGTCCTGCATACCACAGAAAAGGAGGAAAGAGATACTTCTGTCTTTGGATAGTCTATCTGGGAAAGAAAAAACAGAAAATAAAACGGGGTGCTTTCTCAATTTTCTTTTATGATTTTAAATTTAAATGTTCATCACTAACATATCCCAGCTCATTTATTTACTGACAAAAAATCATACTACACAATATAGTCAGAATTCACTTTCTTTAATTTTTTTTTCTCAACGTTTATTTATTTTTGGGACAGAGAGAGACAGAGCATGAACGGGGGAGGGGCAGAGAGAGAGGGAGACACAGAATCGGAAACAGGCTCCAGGCTCTGAGCCATCAGCCCAGAGCCCGACGCGGGGCTCGAACTCACGGACCGCGAGATCGTGACCTGGCTGAAGTCAGACGCTTAACCGACTGCGCCACCCAGGCGCCCCAGAATTCACTTTCTTTAAATGAAATGTTTAAAACAACATCTCAGTCACAATCTCTCATATTTTGTCTCATTTTTCTAAAAGGTCTAAAATCATAAGAAAACAAACCAACAATAACCCTTCAAATATGTGGAAAAACCTTGCACACCCTTTACAAATGACATTTTTAGTGATTAATAAATAAGAGACGAGAAGGCAACAGCAATCAAACCAGGAGATAAGATACCATCCCTTCATTACATATCATTCCAGGAATTTGTGCTGATTGCAACATAGACATCTGTCTACATGCCTTAAAGTAGGGTGAGGCCTGTTCTACTTTTCGTAAGTTCATCTTTGATCTCTAGTTATTAGGTCTGAAGCAAAGTCAGATTTTTTATAGTTATAATATTTTTCTTGTCTCTACAAGGTGTAGAGCCCTCTGAATCTGACAGTTGTTAGTCATGGTAAAATAATCCAAATTTAGCCATTAGCTTATGAGAGTGTTTTGATTATATGCTGTGTTTCAGGAAATCTGAAGATTAAATTACTCATTGAAAATGCTGTAATATAGATTACATATATAATTAGATGGATGTTTATTATTTTTTTTTTAATTTTTTTTTTCAACGTTTATTTATTTTTTTGGGACAGAGAGAGACAGAGCATGAATGGGGGAGGGGCAGAGAGAGAGGGAGACACAGAATCAGAAACAGGGTCCAGGCTCTGAGCCATCAGCCCAGAGCCTGACGCGGGGCTCGAACTCACGGACCGCGAGATCGTGACCTGGCTGAAGTCGGACGCTTAACCGACTGCGCCACCCAGGCGCCCCAAGATGGATGTTTATAGGGATTAGATAGATAGATGGAATATCACAATGTTATTCCTAAGTAACATTATATAATCTTTTTTTCTGCACCAATAGATATTTTCTACTATTCATCTGTTATCTTATGTCTTTTTCAAAAGCGTAGGAAAAAAACATTTACTAATCAAATTAAATTTATTTTTTATATTATCAGATGCTACTATTTATTTTGGTCTCACTGACCTCCTCAAGTCTGGAAACACTTACTGTTCTTTGCATTAGCAGAGGAGAGTCTGTTCCTTCCTCTTTAAAACTTGATTCCATACCGATTATATCCTCAATAACGTCTTCCATCTAGCAAAATATATAATACATTTAGAATACTGTGCATAATGAGAAGAGTTGTGCTTCAGCCTGAATTCAGAAAGAAAAAAATTAGCAATCTTTTAAAGTTTTTAAGAATATTTAAATTAAGGTTATATGTATATCAAAACCGAGAATATTTTAGAACTTAAAATGAAGTAATCCTGACACTCTTTGATCTGTGTTGCTTTCCCATGAATTTGCTTCTACTACCAGCTGGCAGGTGATGGCTGGGCAAATCACCCTGGGCTAGTCCCTTGGAAATCAGTATCTATATAAATAGACTGGTTATCATGAAGTGCCTCAAGCCAGAGCCCATGTACTTAACATGTAGAGAGATGACTTCCTATAACTTTACTTTCCTTTTGAAATGTTTTGATTGCATCTTACAGGTAGATATTCAAATATCAGTGGTCATGCCAGCCAATTGGTCCACATGGATACAGAATATATGGAAAAATGTTACCTAACTTTCCCTAATGGCTAATAACCCTAACAGCAATAACGACAACAATAATAATCACCGACATCTTAAATCGTAACAATGGCAAACACATATAGAGTGGGAGACATGCCAGGCACTGTTCTGTGTGCTTTGCATACATCAGCCCATTTAATCTTCACAAAAACTCTGAGAAGTGGATGCTATCCTTACCTCCATTGTACAGATGAGGAAACTGGGAGAGGAAAAAATGCACAATAAATTATTCCATGATACAAAGCTAGTGAGTGACAAAGACAGGATTGAAATCCTGGAAATCTGGCCCTAAAGTCCTAACTTAAATCAGTTTTTCCACTCCTTTCTCAATTCCATTCTAAAATATCTTCCTTCCCTTCTCTACTTTAGCTGGAGAAGACTGTAAACGCTTGTATTTTAAAAATACCATGCTTGCCCCCTACTTTTCTCTCTAGCTGTAGCTCTCCTCTCTCCCACTATATTCTCTTTAGTGACATTTCAAAATATGATGTAAACTCAAAGATAATGAGAATGCTGAATTTATACACTGTAGCGCTCTTAATTTCCAAAAACTTGTGCAGAAACAACCAGGACTTAACTTGGTGAGATGTATAAAAATATTTTATGATTCTGTTAATTTTATCATCAAGCGTGATTTCTGAGAACCTTAGAGAATTAAATATTCAGACTTCTACTAAGATACCTTAAAGTTGATATGCCAAAAAATCAGAACACTATTTAATATTAATTTAACAAAGATTTGTTGAGCGATACTTATTGCAATACCCTGTTGTAAGCACAGGAGCTGTAAAAGGAAACAGCACAGAGTCTCTGCCCTCCTGGAGCCCTAACTCTAATGAGAAGACAGACAATAAACAGCTTAATAACAAACAGCGGCCTGAAGAAATTAACGCAGGTGGGGAGAGAGCTTGATGGGAATGAATGTTATTTTAGAAAATGGTCGGAGGAGGATTTACGGATATTTGAACAAGGACATGAAGAGTGTGGGGAAGGACAGTCCTTGGAAAGGAAGCAAAAAATACAAAGACCCTAAGATAGGAACATATATGTTCAGAAAGACTGTTGGTCAGTGGGAATGGAGCAAGAGTCAGGTTTGAGATGAAGTTGAAAATTCGGCCCTCTAGGTTGGCCAGTGGTCTCCATCAAAAATTTCTGCAAGTATAGGAATGTCCTGCACTGTCCTGCATATAATGGCTACTGAGCACTTGAAATGTAGCTAGTTTAACTGAGGAATTAAATCTTTTTTTCTCAAGTTTTAATTTAAATTTTACTTAGTTAACATGAAGTGTAATATTAGTTTCAGGAGTAGAATTTAGTGATTCATCACTTACATATAACACCCAGTGCTCATCCCAACAAGTGCCCTCAATACCCTTCACTCATTTAACTCATCCACCCACCCTCCCCTCCAGCTAACCTGTTTGTTCTGTCATTAAGAGTCTGTTTTATGGTTTGGCCCTCTTTTTTTTCCCTCCTATGTTCATCTGTTTTGTTTCTTAAACTCCACATGTGAGTGAAATCATCTGGTAGTTTTCTTTCACTGACTGACTTGTTTCATTTTGCATAATACTCTCTAGCTCCATCCACATTACTGCAAATGGCAAGATTTCATTATTTTTTATGGCTGAGTAATATTCCATTGTATTGAAATAGAGGATATAGACATTGATATAGATCTATAGCACATCTTCTGTATCCATTCATTTGTCTCAATGAACATTTAAGTTCAGGAATTAAATACTTAATTTGATTTAATTTTTAAAGATTTTATTGAATTTGAATTAATTGAAAATTAAATTTAAATAGCCACATGTGGCTAGTGAGTACCATATTCAAGAGTGCAGCTTTTGACTATGGTCTGCATTTCATTTATCTATTTTTTTTTTTTTAATTTGAGTATAGTTGACACACACACTGTTACATTAGTTTCAGGTGTACAACACAGTGATTCGATGAGTCTATATGGTAGGCTATGCTCACTACAAGTACAGCTACCATCTGTCACCATACAACACTATTACAATGCCATTGACAGTATTCCCTATACTCTGCCTTTTACTCCTGTGACTTATTCATTCCAAAACTGAAAGCCTATACCTTGCACTCTCCTTCACCCATTTTACCCATCCCCCACTCCCATTTCCTCTGGCACCCATCAGTTTGTTTTCTGTATTTATAAGTCTGATTCTGCTGTTTGTTTGTTTATTTGTTTGTTTTGTTTTTAGATTTCACATATGGTCTGCACTTAACATATTATTCCATGTGCATCAAGAGATCTTTAAAGGACCTAGGATAATAAATATGCATATTTTATTCCTTTTGTTTAGTACATTCTGTGAAAGCTTTAAAATATATTCTTGATTGTCAGTAAACTCAAAATTTAATTTCATGATATTTCTCTCATTCATGTTTACCGTTTCATGGACAGCAAATTTGTACTGAACAGATGTAAAGAAGACCAGAGGAAAGAAGGATGCTAAACACAATTCATGGTAAATGCTTTTCTATTGGGAACTTCTAATATTTTCACCAAAAATTATATATATCATTTATCTCTTCTCTTTCTGGAAACTTACATCACAAATGACCCACTCTCTTGCATCTTTAATTTTTCCCTGTTGCCTGTAAATATGCTTAGGTTTCTCCTATTTCAATAGAAAACCTTTCTTTCTTACGTGTGAAAGTTCACCCTCCTCGGAGGCTCTTCTTTGCTTCTCTAACACCTCTACCTTCATTTCTGCCATCCACCTACATCACAGTCTTTTTTCCCTAATTTATTGATGATGTTGATTCCTCCATTATGTAAACTGATTTTGACATCTAAAATCCATTCAAACACTTCGCTCCACAGCTTCTAGGAAACTTTGTAATTAATCACAAGAATTCAGTTGTTATTTTTAAAAAGACAATAAATGCAAAATTTTGATCAGATGAAACAGAAATAACATATGAGGCAAAAAAAAAGAGAAAAAAGAATTACAAATCAGCAGAATAAGCATCCTCAAAATGATAAATGAAGATAATGAAATGCAAGAAAGAACAAGTTATTTTGACTCAATCAAAATGGGGATAATAGGTATGGAAAGCACGAGGTTTGGGGACAAAGGAAGAACATTTATAAAGTTTGAGAAGTTTAAAAATAAAGATCTACAAAAGGCTAGAATGAAAATTTTCAACAACACTGGGTACAAGAAGACAATGGGATGATAATTGAAGTATTAAAGTTAAAGAACTTTGAGCCTAGACATTTATAACTAATAAAATATCCTATAAGTAAGTGGGTGAAATAAAATTGTTCTTAGGCATAAAAACTCAGAGGTTTTAAGGCAAAAAGACCTTTGAAAAACACTCTTCCCAAAACGAGACAAAGACCCCACTAAAAAGAAGAAACACAGGCCAATTTCCCTGATGAACATTGATGCAAAAATTCTCAACAAGATACTAGCAAATCGAATCCAACAATACATTAAAAGAATTATTCAGGGGCTCCTGGGTGGCTCAGTCAGTTGAGAGTCCGACTTCGGCTCAGGTCATGATCTCGCGGTCTGTGAGTTCGAGCCCCGCATTGGGCTCTGTGCTGACAGCTCAGAGCCTGGAGCCTGTTTCAGACTCTATGTCTCCCTCTCTCTCTGCCCCTCCCCCACTCATGCTCTGTCTCTCTCTCTGTGTCAAAAATAAACATTAAAAAAATTAAAAAAAAAAAAGAATTATTCACCATGATCAAGTGGGATTTATTTATGCACTGCAGGGGTGGTTCAATATCCACAAATCAATCAACGTGCTATACCACATTAATAAAAGAGTGGATAAGAACCACATGATCCTCTCAATAGATGCAGAAAAATCATTTGACAAAAACAGCATCCTTTCTTGATAAAAACCCTCAAGAAAGTAGGGATAGAAGTAACATAACCTCAACATCATAAAAACCATATACAAAAGACCTATAGCTAATAACCTCCTCAATGGAGAAAAACTGAGAGCTTCTCCCCTAAGGTCAGGAACACAGGAGGGATGTCCACTCTCACCACTGCTGTTCAACATAATACTGGAAGTCCTAGCCTCGGCAATCAGACAACAAAATGGAATAAAAGGCATCCAAATCAGGGGCGCCTGGGTGGCGCAGTCGGTTAAGCGTCCGACTTCAGCCAGGTCACGATCTCGCGGTCCGTGAGTTCGAGCCCTGCGTCGGGCTCTGGGCTGATGGCTTGGAGCCTGGAGCCTGTTTCTGATTCTGTGTCTCCCTCTCTCTCTGCCCCTCCCCCATTCATGCTCTGTCTCTCTCTGTCCCAAAAATAAATAAACGTTGAAAAAAAAAATTTAAAAGGCATCCAAATCAGCAAAGAAGTTGTCAAACTTTAATTCTTTGCAGACAACATGATACTCCTATGTAAAAAACATGAAAGACTCCACCGAAAATTTGGTAGAACTGATACATGAATTCAGCAAAGTTGTAGGATATAAAATCAATGTACAGATATCTGTTACATTTCTATACACCAATAATGAAGCA